CAGCGCGGCGGGGGACCTCCTCGTGGCTGTAGAGCGGGTTGCGATCGGTCGGCTCTGCGGCCGAAGGGGAAAAGAGCCGATTTGTTTCCCCCTCTCCATCCCCCCATCACTGCGGTGACCTGCTCTTGGCAGAAAATCGAGGCCTTGGAGTCGTTGCCGGTCCCGCTGCTGCTGTTTCCAGGGGAGGTTGGGGTTGGCGTTAAACCTGGTCTCGAACTTGGCCTCTGAATTAAATGGGTTAAAAGTCTGAATATTGGGTCGTACGCGGCAAAGGGTTTTGCGGGTCTGAGCTGAGGAATTTTCCGAGCAAGTTTCTGTCTTTTACGAACCTTTAAAGATGCTGACCCCAAAGAAATAAAGGTTTGCCTTGTCAATAATTTTATTTTAGTTAGAATTGAATGCAGGAATAAAAAAAAGCTGGCTTTTTTTTTTTTAATCCTGTTAGATGTATTACGTTTATATTTGGTTCAGAAACTGTGCAGAATTAAATAAGCATAGGCATTTTTCCCTTTTCTGCTTGATACATGGTGCTACTAATGCCCGGTAACTGAGTGTCAAGGGGCGTTGCTTGTTCAAGTAAGCGTGTTTTGCCCGTAGGTATGGTCAAAGCTGGTCTTGCAAAAGGAAGAATGAAAACAGAGGCTTGTTTGTCATTAATGTGCGATTGATAAGTGATGGGACGGGCAATAATAAAGGCAAACATCCAGTGCAGTCACAGGGAACTTCTCTTTTTAGGCTTGACGTTAACCTATTACATGTGTATTGCAAGGAGTAGAATGATTTTCTCATTTGGCCTTTGGTTTTAGCGTGGAGACTTATTTTACAAGATTGAAGAACACAAAATACTTTGCTGCAGTATGGTTATAAAGAAATTACAAAGAAAAGAAAGTTGTTGGTAGCGAGTTGAAGTCTCTGTAAGCTAAAGCTTCATTTTCTGTTTTTCTTCAATGCATGTAGCTTTCTCAAGTGTTCTCTAAACTCAGTAGGATTATTTTTGTTGATTGACCTTGATGAGCTCTGGTCATGTCAGGTCACAGCTTCCAAACAGCTGAGGGCCAGTACCAGTTCTCGTACATAGGTATTTTCCCTAAGCAGGTTTTTGTTTTGGGGTTTAGTCTTACCAGACATAAATTTAAGTCTGAGAAACAAATAATCGAAAATGGTTTAAGAACGTGTTAGAGCTACAATTTGGCTTGTACGTGACTGTTCATTTTCTTCCACAGGATGCAATGATAGCAAATTAAGTCAATGTACGCATTTGCAAATAGTATGATTTCCTGTTCAAAATGAGTAGTGTCTCTGCATTTTCGTGTTCACTTACTTCGTTCATCTTGTGCTAGCACTTGCTAGGTTACTTTGAAGTCTTGCATTTGGAAATGACAATCAACCTGTTGATTTAAATAAAATTCAGTCTCATTGGAAGGACATTTCATAGTCTTTATTTTATTTTATTTTTATTTTATTTTTTAATTTATGTTTAAAGTGTGTAGTGTTAAGTATTCAGCAGGGAGATTTTCAGTGTTTGACCAAATAGTAGGCAAATACCTGCACTTCTGTATGTTTACATTGCTGAAATCCATCATGAAAAACAGTTATTTAATATGACACAAATTTGCTGTTTAGTGTGTTTGTGTGTGGTTATTATCTACTTTCTAACTGTTTCAGAGTGGTGATGGAACTGAGCTGACAGCCAAGCCAAAGAGAAGCTTCTACGCAGCAAGAGATTTATACAAGTACCGACACCAGTATCCAGTAAGAATATTTTATGGTTTAAAATTGCCTTTTTTTAGTAGAAGATAGCACACAACCCAAACATTCCTAAACCTTTGTGGTGCCTAACAAATAAAAGAAATGGGAAGAATCAAAAAGCTGATGCAGAGGGCTGACATATGCCAGTGGGAGAAGAGTGAAACTAGTGTAATGCCTTTTCATCCCAGGAGTACGTGCAAACACATGAGATGTTGTCATGGTTTAACCTCAGCCAGCAGCTAAGACCACTCCCCCTTCTCCCTCCACCAAGGGTAGGGAGAAAAGGAGGGGAAAGGGCAAAAAACCCCCGAACTCGTGGGTTGAAATAAAGACAGTTTAATGGAACGATAATGGAAAAGGAAAATAACGATAATAATAATGGTAAAAGAATATACAAGATGCATGTCACTCTCGCCACCCGGTGAACTGGTTGCCCAGCTTGACCTGAGAAGTGATTGTGGATGCCTGTACCCCTATTTATATACCGAGCATGATGGCTTTGGTACAGAATATTCCACTGGCCATTCCCTTGTTCTGTCTAGGCTCCTTCTCAGCTTCTGTGGGAAGCTGAAGGAAGTCCTTGAATGGTATAAACATTGCCTAGCAACAACTAAAACTATGCATTGTTGACATTCCTTTCATACCAAATCTGAAACACAGCAATCACTAGAAAGAAAATTAACTCTATCCCAACTGAAACCAGGAGGTATGCGTAAGCCTGGGAACAGCAGTAGGAGCCCAGAAGAAGGCTTGTGCCTTGAACATCGAAGATTGTAGATGATAGAGTTTGGACTTATTATTTGCATCTTGGAAGTTCCGTGAGACCAAAGTCAAGTTGCTGCTATGCTTGCTGCTCTAACCTCTGCCTCAGTAGAAGGTACCAGTCAGAAGGAACTTGCAGGTCCTTAAGCTGAATCTTTAAGTCCATGAGTAATTCTAAGTGATTTCCAGTTTCCATAAAATTCTGAATGTTTTTTGTCTTCAAATTATTCAGAGAGCACAGTATCACAAAGTACCACTTTCTAGATACTCTTGATAGGTTTTTGTAGGCTCATAATGTCCTATTTCCTTTCTTTTAGCAGAACTTTAAGGATCTTCGATATCAAAATGACTTGTGTAATCTCCGCTTTTACAAAAATAAGATCCCTTTTAAACCTGATGGTGAGTAATCTGTGGCAATAATAGTGATAACAGAAGAATGCTCACTAATAATAGTAGCAAAGTGAAACTGTAGTAGTAGTTGCAGTGCTGACAAATTAAAGGTGTATAGTTATATATTGCGTGACTTGAACCTCTCATGTTGGAGTATCGTGTTGATAACATGGGAGAAGTTTATGCTTAAACCAGAGATCGCTTTTGCTTTAGGGAGGTGGTGCTTTTCTCACGTGTTTTCAGCATGATGTAATACAGGGCGTTGTTTGTACCACTACTTTACAGTAGTGGCACTACCTTTTATTAAACAAAGATAAAGTTGCTCCACTGTGCTGGACAAACTCTTGCTGCTTGAATAGGAGTGGCAGGGACATGGGTGTTATCCCTAGCGCTGGGTAAGGGAAAAAGAATGTCTTGTAACTACCTCAGGTGTGATTATTATAATAACAATAATAAAATAATTTCTCAAAATCCCTACTGGTTCTGGTAGTGGAGCGGGAACCTCGTGTGAGGTTCTGCACAAACACAGGACGAGCTGAAAGAGAACAGACCCTGCTCTAGAGAGTTTGCAAGCAAAGAATGCGAGACAAGAGGGTAGCAGACAGATGGGGAAGCAGAAGGAGGCAGTAAACCAGTCTTGGTTAGAATGGTAGACAGGAGTCTTGGCCCATGAAAGCTTAGCCATTGGCAAAAAAAAAAGTTTTGCAGGCCAAAAATAAGTTTTTGAGTGTTTTAAAAGAATGATGAGGAGGTTACTTTGAAGGTCTTTGCAGAAAGATTCTCTCAGCATGAGAGCAGCTTGAGAGGAAATACCAAAGTGTGCATTGGAGTACAGAAGCAGTGAGACTGCCATTGAGGCAGGAACCTGTTGGAGACAGGATCAGTGTCATAGCAGCAAATGGGTTCTGATAAGGTAGGAAGGGACAGGTCACAAAAGGCTTTGGAAGTGAAGGCATATAGTTTTTGTCTGATGTTACAGAAAAGGGCTTCACAATGGAAAAATCAAAGCAAAAAAAAAAAAAAAAGAGGCAATATAAAAAAGCTACAGTCTAGAAACATCAACAGCATTCAGGGTGATATTCAGATATAAGTGTGACAAGAGGGCACTTTTCAAGGTCAGGAAAGAGAATGTTGAGTTGCAAAATGTCAAAGTTCCGATATGAAGCTGGATGGGAAGAAATGTTATACAGAATGATGTCGAGATGTACGTATAGGAAGGTTGAAGATGAGAGCTGTTTATAGGCGAGATAGTGATAATATCCTCAGCAAGTGAGAAAACAAGCCAGGTTAAGCCAGGTTATGTGAAAGAAAGATAAGACCTTTGTTTTAATCATCTTGAACTTTATCTCGGTATCCACAGGCAGATGCTGAAGGCTTTTTAGCTTGACTGGGAGACGAGTTAGATCTGTGAATTACCAGTACAGAGGCAGCAAATTCAGGAGACGTGACACAGAAAGAAAGGGAAGGGCACTGGAGTCCATGTGAACCTGAAAGTGAAAGCCAGAAATGGTTGCGGGGTGGGGAAGGGGAGAAGGATCCTTTAAAGTGCAAAATGAAGGAGCAATTCAAGAAGATTAGCCACCAGAAGGGATAGTCATGAAAGCTAGACAATGGCTTTCCTCCTAAAATCTGTAAAGAATAAAATTTCTCCTAATATTTTAGGAGAAAACCATAGTTGATAGTGTCAAAGGTAGCTAATAGGCCATGGAGGTGGAAGTGTTGATGGCTGTGAGCCCTGGTTACGTAGAAGTTTTTATTGAGAATGCGAAAGAGCAGCCACCACCTTGACCTAAGTCTGCAGATCTGTGAGAGTGTTCAGAGGGAGTCAAAGTTACCATGGTAGGGACTGGACTATTGGGGAATGTTATTAAAAAAAGACATTTCTAGTGCAATACTAGTTCTGAAGTTTTATTCCATGACCTACAGATTTAGCTTGTGGTTCTGACTCAGAGCTGACTTGTCTGTCTCTCTGCTCTGGAATTGAGCAGCAAGTTTTCCGATAGTTGAAATGTAGGTTGGGTACAGTGCAGTGATGGCGGGAGGTCCTCTTTGCAAGGTCCTTTTCCAGCCTTGCCTGCATTGGAAACCCCATGTTCTTAGCAGCCCTTTGTTCTGGCTGCTTTCTCCATTTCTTGAAGAAAAGTACCAAATGAGTTCTCCTTTGTCATTGAAACCCAAGTGGAAATTTTCACCCGGGGGTGAAAAAAAGAGATATCTAATGTATAATAGGAGACTATCTATGTGGGGCTTTGGGCTTTTTAGGCTGCTCCTATACTATTTGACTTTGGGAGAGGCCATGCGGCAGTGGTGAAACTGTTGTTGGTTTCAGAGTAGAAACAGGCGAACGTTGAGCGTTCATTCATGGAACTAGACTGCACAGGTTTTGAAACAAGGAACATCCTTTTATGTATTTTTTGTATTTGGGCAGTGCCCAGAAAAGTGTCGTGGCCCATGAGCACTCTCTTGGTGCGAAGAATGATTAATTTCCTTTTACCTGTACTTTGTCCCCTGTTTCTGTCGCTGTGTCTTTCCAAGAGGAACCGACTGAACTCCACAACTGTTTTGAGACCACTAAAAGCTGAAATTCTCGTTTGTTGAGCATGACCTGAGAACCCAAGGTCAGACTCATAGCAATGGCAGCAAGGCTTTTGGCCACAGCTAATTGTGAAAGATTTCCCTTTCGTAATGTTATTTGCAGCTGGAGAGATTCTTGGAATGGGAGATTTCGTAAAGAGTTGAGGCTTTATTCTACTAGGGACTTAGGACATGAGAACTTTTGGGGAAGTGTATTTTACAGAGGTTATTGGCACATCCCCGCTGCTGGTAAGTAACTCGGTATAAGTCAGTTGGTTTTGTTTATATTGAAATTTGATAAATCTCATATTTTTAATTAAGTTTTAGTAACTAAATTAATTTTAAATTAAAGTGTATTTATTTATGGTTGTAATAGACCTTATTTCACATAGTATGTGCAGGAGAATTACAGTATGTGTTCTATCATTATGTTAACATGACATGTACTTTATGTAGATGAATGCTGGTTTTGATGGCTACATAACAGTTTTCAAATTATTTTTATGCAGGGGTTTATATTGAAGAAGTCCTAAATAAATGGAAAGGAGACTATGAAAAACTGGAACATAACCATACTTACATACAGTGGTTGGTCACTTATTACCCATTTCTGTTTCAAAACATTAATTTGATTAAGTGTTCATATACTGTGAGCTGTAATGCGCTTTTTCTTTTGACAGGCTTTTCCCACTGAGGGAACAAGGTCTGAACTTCTATGCTAAAGAATTAACTACATATGAAATTGAGGTAATACAAATTGAGCTCAATACAAACCATCATATTAATTTTGATACATAACTGCTTTTTGTTATGTAGAGTTGTTTTATACAATGCAGAAGTACTTGCTTTAGTGCCACTTAGAATTTTGGACGTATTCTTTGTTTATTAGGAATTCAAGAAAACAAAAGAAGCAATTAGAAGGTTCCTCTTGGCTTACAAAATGATGTTGGAGTTTTTTGGAATAAAACTAATTGATAAAACTGGAAACGTAGCACGAGCTGCTAACTGGCAAGAAAGATTTCAACATTTGAATGAGTAAGTAATGACATGCACTTCACTCTCTGGAATTGCCATAGAATCTCTTTAGCCTTTTGTTTTCTAGAGAAAGGGAAGATGTATTTTCCAAAGATTGCCAGGAAAAAGAGAACAAGAAATAGTCAGTGCCTGGTTTGTGTCTGTATGTGTACGTTCCTCCTCCCCTCCCCGCCCCCCCCCCCCCCCCCCCTTTTTTTTTTATTATGCTTCTCACCCATTACCAGTCTGACATCACTAAATTCCCTGAAAATACAACTTCAGATGGTGCTGAAGAAAACCACAGTTCCAAATTAGTTTGTTTGTCATGCTACTGACAGCATTTTCATCTGATCCCAAAGCGCTGCTTCTCAGTTGGAAAGAACGAATGGCTTATCCTTATATTCACGTTTCTTTTTGGGAAAAATCAAATTAATTGCAGTGCTTAACTGGAGAGGTTTACACATGTGTTAAGTCAAACTTTAGCCCAACTTTCAATAAATTACATCTGTTGCTTTTCATTAACATTGTGTTGAGCATAAATTTGCACTGAATTTTGTCCTATGTGGATTAATTGTATCAAAATCTCTTTTCAAATCTTGTGATCAATTTCCTAATGCCTCTGACCTTAGAGCTGAAGATTGTTTTCTTGCAGTATTTTGTTCTTCCGTCCAAATGAAAGCTTGTAGATATAATTGCTGATGTATTATTATGGGTGAATAATGGGAATAGTTTGTCACTAATTGTACTTAAATATTATATGAGCCAATATGGGTGTGGGCTCAGACTCAGACCACAGATAAAACAGGGTATCAGGAAGCCCAAATGTTACTCACTGCACATTTTTACACTATAGTTCCTACATTCTCACCAGTGAGTAGCTACACAGTTTTAAGTCAGGAATTGGGACTCTTTTTACCTAACTTTAACCATCAAAAATGTAGGCATTTAAGTTTTAGTGTTTACTTAGGTGTACTTTATGAGGGAAAGAGCTCTTCACAAGCACTTCCAGAAGATGGTTCGTTCCATTTATCTTAGACACTTCTTACGACAGTGGGACTTGCTCTCCAGAGCTACCTGTTTTTCTCTCAGCACTGACTGTATAAGTGCAGGTAGCTAGTCTAGACTGGAGACACAGCTTTTAAGTAGCTAAAGTGAAGTGCAATGAATCCTGTTCTGTAGCTGTATTACTGCAATACACTACAAAACCCCATTTTTGTAATACAAAGTGACTAGGTTTTCTCCTCAGAAGGAATACATACAACAGAAGGAATCAAAATCAGTACACACTTTGATTTTATTTTTTTTTTAGCCTATTGCCTCAGTGCTTTTTACAGACATTAATTTTCACTCACAACATCCTAGCAAAGGAGGTGCTAACAAGCTTCAGCAGCTGTGAGAAATTAAAGTACTGGAAGCCTGAAGTACACACCTGGAGTGATAAAAAGGAGTGAGGAGTTGCAGTTCCAGTTCTGTAACTGTAAGGTGGTGGGGTGTTTTTTTCTGATTCAATGGAATTTTTTACCTTTTTCTTCCAAAGGTCTCAACACAACTACTTGAGAATCACTCGAATTCTGAAAAGTCTTGGTGAGCTTGGATATGAGAGTTTCAAATCTCCCCTTGTAAAATTTATTCTCCAGGAAGCTCTTGTGGAAGATACCATTCCCAACATTAAGCAAAGTGCTCTAGAATATTTTGTGTATACTATTAGAGACCGCAGAGAAAGGAGAAAACTCCTGAGATTTGCCCAGCAACATTACACGCCCTCAGAGCATTTTATCTGGGGACCCCCAAGAAAACAGAAGTCGGAGGGAAGCAAAGCAAATAAAAAGCCAGCATCTCCAATTTCTATTCACAATAGTTATATTTCTAAGCATAAGAAACCAAAAGAGCCTAAGAATACATCGGCAAGCGGAAGTTCAGCTGGTAAAACAACTGAAGAAAGAAAGGTAGAACTTGCAAAAAACGGGGAAGAAAATAACCAGGATGAACAAGAAATGAACTGTGATGCTGTTAAGCAGAACAACAGTGAAAAGAACAGTGATACTGATACCGGTCAGCTTTCAAAATCGGAAGAAATTCATGATACTTCAGACAGAAAGGAGGACACTTCTCATTCCAAAAATGATGATGAAAATATGGACAATGACTGTGGAAATCACCCAGGCACTATAGAGAAAGATTCATGTGACACTGAGAATTCTTCAAATAACACGTCAACAGATCTACAAGATAACCTTGACAAGGATACACTTTCAGGAGGGACCACCACAAAAAACAAGGATGAGCTCAAGTCATGAGTCTGAGGTTAAAAATTGTTATGTTTCATATTGAATGAAGCAAATTATTCATTGCTCTTTCATTTTGGGTGAAATTTCCAGTTAGTATGATATGAAATGTTTATGAGACTATGCTTGTTGCGAATGCATCAGATTAGGCTTCTGTTATGTTAATGAGTTTTATTTTTTTCAACCTCAGTTTATCAGCAGTCAGCCAGGTGTGGCTCTTTAAAATAATCGTGTATATTCAAAGCTAAGAAAATCATTATCTTTTCCAGACAGATTGCACAGAAAGGCTTATCTATTTTTTTGCCATTAAATTAATCCAGTATTTTTTTCTTTTTTAAAAAAAAGCATAACTTTCTAGAAAGCCTTGGATTTTGAAGTTTCTTTTTAATGTGCTTCTTTTAACGTGCTTTTAATGTAACTAGCTTTTCCCTAGTGGATATTTTTTTTTTAGGAACAATATTCGTGTTTAATGGCAGTATTTGCACAGCATCTTTTACCTTAGATGAGCATCCTTTCGGAGACACTTAGTAACGGATATCAAAGTGTCCTATGCAGCTGGGTATCCTTGTACATTGAATAAAAGTTTAACTTACAATGAAACTGTATCCATATCTTTTGGATACAAGGGAAGTTGCACTTTAGACTTCTTTTAGTCCCTGTTAAGTTCTCTCTTCTCTTTACTTGTTTGTTACTACTACTAATTTGGGAGGAGGGATCTCTGATCGCTCAGATTTGGTCTCAGCATGAAAGCTCTCTGTTGATCAGCTGTGATAAAACAACCCCCCATAGCTGGGTTCAGCACCTGGAAAACCTCTCTGCAGCCGAAAAGCAGTGTTTTCACCACAAAGCACTGCTTACTCATCAAAGCCATCCAAGAAAATGTCACCAGGCCTGTCCAGCTGGATCCAACCTGAACTTGAGTGTTCGTTGGCCGGTTTTGGGTAAGCTCTGCCCAATGCTGAATGCCCTGCCTTCCTCTTCTGGACCAGCAACAGTCCTGATGCTTTCTTTCCAGCCATCTCTTTCCTCTCTATCAGAGGTCTTTGACAGTTTAATGTTGTTTTGCTCATTGGCTGAAACCTGAGGCAGGCCAGTCTGCTGGCCTAGCTGGAGGCCAGTGGGTAGGAATTTCCCAAATAAACTATATCCCACCTTTCTTCGCTGAAGGACTGTCTGCTTTCCCTTAGTAGCCTCTTCTGCCTTCATGCCGTTCAATCAAACAAGATAGTACCCAGCAGGTTAATTGTGTAAAGTATGAATTAAAAAAAAATGCAGGTAGAACTCACACTTTCTAGTCCTAAAATAGTCTAAAACTTCTGTATGTATTTTCTATTTAAAAGTGTATATATTATCTGCTGCCTTTAATGTATTTTTGATGAAATGTTACGAGGCAAGTGGCTGACTGCAGTTTGAGTGTCAGAGCGCTACAGGACTTCATTGAAGTCTTATAACTCAAAGTGACAAAGTCTTCAGGGGTTTCAGAGCATAGACAAATGTCTTGTATTTTTCTTCACTAATTCCCATCATGGCAGTGTATCATCCATTGCTTTCCCCAGGTAGTACTGTTTCTTGGCATCAAATAGAGCAGCAGTTAGAGATCTTGGTACCCACGGAGAAAGATTACACTCCTTCCATCCTAAAGAGGCAGGAAAGAAGGAAGATGTATCCCTCCTCCTCCTGTGTTGACTTGTAAGGAAAGTAAAGTATGTATGTGGATTTTTTTTAAGGGTAACACAGATTGCTCAAGGAGGCATTAAGTCTGTCTGAACAGAAATGCCCCAGAGAATTCCTCCAGCAGCCACCACCTCTTTAAAAATGGAAGGGTGCTGGGAAGCCTTTCACAATACCCGGGACTTGAAGTAGGATCCCCTTGTTCATGTTTGCCTCTGACCTTCAGAGCAGAAGGGGGCAGGAAAGGCTGAGATGAAATCAGTCTGTGTAGGTAAGGACTCTGACCCCACATGTACGCACGGGGGGGGACAACTTTATGTTCTGCCTATGACTTTTTAAATCTTGAGTGCCTAACCATGCCAACTTAATAGTGTTGTTTTTGCGTAGTTATTTTTTGAATGGCATAGGGAAAATTTATACCCTGTGTATGAGGAACATAAATATAAGGTAGGTAATTATACAGGGCCTTCAATTTTTGGACTTTAGTGTTAAGATTAAACACTTTAAAAAAAAAAAATGTGTAGTGTGCAACTGAAATAAGGGATGCTGGGGGTGATATTATATTTATACTGTAATTTGATTGAACTTCGATGACCTCACGAAATCTTTTGTCTACTGAACAAAACAAAACAAAAAAAAAGGGAAATCTTGCTGTAATTTTAAACCAGAAAGCTCTCGGGATGTCCAAAAGATTTCTCTGCTCTGCAGCATGGTATTCTGTTACTGTAACACAGCTTTCACCTATACGTGCTTGCTGGTTCTCCACTCTTAATTAAGTACTTAATGTACTTTGAATCTGGCAGGGCTGTCTGCATTAAGGGCCAGGTGTATCTGAAAATACAGTCAAGAACTTTGGGACTCATATCCTTATTAACTCTGCAATTTTAGATTTTATTTTTTTTTTAATCTGCAACTCAGTGTATTTCTATCAGTTTTCATAGAAGGAAGAAGAGTAGTGGCATACCAATTGCCTACAAAGAGCTATGGGGATTAGGTAAGTGAGGGTTTTTTTGTGTCAGGTGGGCTCCTGCACTCTGTAATCTTTGTCTTATAGCTTTATCAACAGAATAACTCCCATGGGACACTTCAGCTTTAACTAACAAATTCTGTTTTATGTAAATTGTGATGGTTTATCATTCTTTTCATGAGGAGTTGTTTCTTCTGATTTTGCAAGTGCTTGAAAGAAGGATTCATTGCAGGACAATCGTACAGTGTAGCATCCGGTTGAGATTTGTGAGGATCAAGTGGGTGCACTGTATGCATTTTGTTACAGAATCATGGCCTTAACAACCAGAAGCACCCCATGCTTCAAGTTTCTAAGTATTGGCTTTCAGGTTTACAGTACAATATATGTTGAAATGATCATATTCTCGTAAGTGCTGGTACTTAGTTATTTAACCGTTACTTCAGAAACTGAGGATGTGCAAAGGAAGTCAGGACGTTTGCTCACTGTTAAACTTGGTTTTGTCTTGCTATATGCTTAAGTATTCAGGGATTTCTGTGTACTTACTACAATAATGTATTTTGGCCCAGTGTTTTATTAAAATCTGAGCTATTCATTTATTAATTGAACAGAACCTCCCACACAGGGGTTCTTTCCTAATAAGTACATCTGATTAGCCTCTGGTACTGTTAAGTGGGAGTAGTGTGTATACACGCACACCGCCCTGTGAATTTGATTTTAAGTATCCTGTGGTGAGGGGATATGAATGCACAACTTGCCAAAATGTTACGGAGTACACACGTGCAAGTGAAGGCGATAGTACAAATCATGCAGAAATGCAGCACTTTAAGAGTAGTTACAGCTCTGTGCCCTACTGTCCAGGACGTAACTGTGCCTCGGGACCCGACACTATGTTGGCGTAGAGGCTGAAAGCTCGGGGACGTGAGGTGTGTGCCACAGACCACA